TACACTCCCACCAGCAAGTATGAAAGCTTCATTGCTCCTCATCTTTACCCACACTTAGCAGTATTAGATTTCAAATTTTTACATCTGTTGGGCAATTCTCATTGTGGTTTTGAATTTTCATTTCCCTGATGACTAACGGAGTTAAGTATCATAGGTTTACTGGCCTATGCAGATTTCCTTTTTGGAAGGGGTGGGGGGAAACTGTCATACTTCTGGCATTTCATGAGAAGGCAGGGCTCTTTGGGAAAGACAATAATGCTGGGAAAACTAGAAAGCAGCAGAAAAAGAGGAAGACCAAATATGAGAGGGATTGACCCCATTAAAGAAGCTGTAGGCATGAGCCCACAGGAGCTGAGCAAGGTTGTTGAGGACAGGACATTGTGGACATCACTCATTCATAGGGTCAGCAGGAGTCATTGCTGATTCAATGACACAAAACCCACACCTTCGCCACTCAGGATTTAATATCCAGGCAAAGACAACTGGGGTTGATCCTGTGTCAACCAAACCACGTGCTGCTAAATGGCTCCTTGAGGCCTGGAAGGAATGATGGTCTAGAATAAAGTGGAGGTCTGGCATTGCCTCTGAAGGAAACTGAGGCAGGACTCAGAAGGCTCAGAGGCAATCCTATGGGGATGGATTTATAATTAAAGACCCACCTCCTGACAAGTAGACACTTCCTTCACTCAAACAGTAGCGAATGGGGCACCAGCCAAGAAACTCAGTGGTGGCTTGCAAGCCAAGGTTAATGGCAGGGGATAGTGACATGGAATTGGGTTCTCTTGTGTGAATGGAAATGGTGGATTCTGATATAGCAGAGACAAGATGGCAGCAGTTAGCTGTCAAAGGCAAAATAACAATCACCGTGATGAATAGCAAGAAATGGCAACCAAGGAGCCCCACAGGGATCTGTAGAAATAACCTACAGCCATTTGTCAGAGTCCCTATACATCTACACACTGGAAAAGGGAAACCCAGATATCTTAAGATTATTGTATGCAAGACCTTGCTTTTTGGCTTAGGATGGGAATTAGCAATTAAAATAAAAATAAAGAACCAAGTAGTAATTATTTTAGGTTTTGTAGGCTATAGGGTCTATTACAACTAATTAATTCTGCCATTGTAGCATGAAAACAGCCACAACAATAAGTAGGCAAGTAGTAGTGGCTATTTCAATAAAACTTTATTTACAAAAACAAGCATCAGGCCAGATTTAGACCACGGGCCACAGTTCCAGACCGTGGGCCTCAGTCAATACTATATAAAAATTCCATGTGTGCTTGAAAACAATGTAGAGTCTCCAATTGTTGGTTTCATTACTTCGTATTTTGTAATAGCACATTTTTGAAATGGTCTATGCCCTACATTTTTGGGGTCTTATTTTGAAGTAATCCTCATGAACTCCAGTAATAGTTTCTTCCTTGAGCTATACTATAAGAATAATATAGCTAAATGGGGTTGCTTTTGGTGTTTTGCACTTCTAGTTTGTATCCTTTGTTTTCGATCATCCTGTGCTTTTATATTTTAGTTTGTTCCTTGTCATAAGCACAGAGTGCAACTTTTAAGTCTGAGCTTCTTGGGAACCAAAGCAAACGGGAGACTGTTGCTTGAAGAAAATGCAGCCTATTTGCTGGTTACCACCTAGACTAACGTGACGCGTGGGCATTAAACAGAAAAGTGCCTTCCAAGGCAGCTTGGGAGAGTCCGTGGCTTCACAGGCTCACAGGACACTGCTTTTTACTGGAATGATATCAGTTGCTCACTGACTACCTAACAGCAGCTAGTTTGGCTTTTAGTAAGCAGTAGTTATTTCTTACTAGGCCCCTGTGGCAGTGAGGCAGGAAGAAATGGTCATGGGTTTTACTAGACTTCATCACCCTTCCCTTCGCTCCTTCAATGTCTCTTCTCATTGGTACTAGTTTACCAAGGGCGTCACTCTCTTTGCTGAACTCAGATGGCTGGAACGGCAGGCGCTAACAAAGGATGCTTTTGAAGGGTGAAAGCCCCATGCTTTAGTGGAGGAGCTGGAGGGGAAGGTACCATGCAACCAGTGCTGGAGCCAGGATTGCAAGGCAGGAAGTTTCCCAGCTCTAAATTCTGGCCACTTACCAGCTTTTATGACCCCTGGGCCTCTGTTTCTTTATAGGAAATGATTTTTTTATTCAGCAGCACGTGGGTTAAAGGAAGTAGTGACGAGGGAGTATGAAGGTGCCTTCCATACAATTAGGCCTCAGCCAAAGGCTGCACAGCCCCCTCCCTCTGTCCCATGAAGCACACTGGTCAGCTGCATGCCTCACAAACAGTGGCTTGCTGAAAACATCTCTTCAAAGGAGCTGGAATGTTGTTTCTTCTCTGTTCCCACTCCCAGCAGTGCCTCTTGGTACTTGAGGCAGGCTTTCCCCTCAAGATTTCAAAGAAATGGGAAGAGGCAAGACCCTTTGAGGATCCTGAAGGATCCCAAGATGCATTTGGTCCCTTTGTCAACAGCCCGAGGCCATCTTTGTTTAAGAAAGTCGTCCCTTTCCTCCATCTAGATTTCGCCCAGCCTGCTTCCATGGAGTCTCGTGAGCCCGAATGCAGGGGCCAGGAGTTCAGGCTGAAGAGTCAGGGTGGCCTACTGAAGTCTCCACCACTCGCTAGTCATGACTTTGGATGACCTATCATTTCAGAGCCTGTTTGGGAGTAGTAATGTCACTGTCGTTGGGACTATTCTGGAAATAAAAACAACAACATACTTTGGAACAACACACTTGGGCCACTGCTCAGCATGCAGTCAAACCCCAGTAAAGCCAGGGTTTCCTTATACACGTGTGCTGCACACCTGAATCACACAAATACCATGGTGACGCCGAGAACAGGGCCTGGGGTTGCAGCTCAACGTGTGGCCCAACTACTGAGAATTAAGCACCAGGTAGGCAAGAGCCACATTGTATTTACCTCTGGGCCCACTTTCTGCTCTGGCCCTGGCTCCTGGCATATGCCCAGCAAGTTGGGTTCACAATAACAAATGCTCAGTGGCTGAGCTGGTGCGCCTTTTGGTTCTCCAAGGCCCTGCTCTTGTACCATGGAACGTGAGCAGGGTTCCTGAGTTGCCTGGGATCCACAGATAAGCTGTTCTGCAAAACTTATGTCAATTTTATTGAAGCAAGAGAGAGACAGTCAGACAGATGGACTGACTTGTAGATGTTTTTAAGCAACATGGCTAGCCCCTTTCCCCAGGTGCCCGTAAGATGCTTGGTTTCTTCCGGGAAAGCTAAGGGTGCTTTGGGACGAGGTCCTCACTTCATCCGGAGACTAGCACCACGCCCAGCAACACCCGCCCCTCACTCACCCCACCAAGGCCTCCGTCTCATAGCTCTCCTGCATCTACTCGGCCCTCATCCTGCACGACCAAGTGACAGTGGAGGATAAGGTCAATGCCCTCATTAAAGCAGCTGGTATAAATAACTACGGAATCTTTCTGGCCAGGCTTATTTGTGAAGACTCTGGCCAAGGTCAACATTGGGAGTCTCATCTGCAATGTAGGGGCTGATGGACTTGCCCCTGCAGCTAGTGCTGCACCAGCAGGAGGTCCTGCCTCTCACTGCTGCTGCCCCTCCTGAGAAAAGTGGAAGCAAAGGAAGAAGAATCTGAGGAATCTGATGATGACATAGGCTTTGGTCTTTCTGACTAAACCTCTCTTGTAACACTTTCAATAAAAGCTGACCTCTGTTGCAAAAAATAAAAATAAAAATAAATGAAAGAAACATGGATAGTCCAGTCAGAATGGCTCAGGGGTTGAGTGTCAACCTAGGAACCAAGAGGTCATGGTTCATTTCCTACACATGCCTGTGTTGCGGACTCTGACCCCCAGTAGGGGGTGTGCAGGAAGTAGCCAATGGATGTTTCTCTTTTTCCTCCTCCTCCTCCTCCCCCTCCTCCTCCTCCTCCTCCTCCTCCTCCTCCTCCTCCTCCTCCTCTTCTTCTTCTTCTCTCTCTCTCTCAATCTCTCTCTCTCTCTCTCTCTCTCTCTCTCTCTCTCTCTCTCTCTCTCTCTCTCTCTCGGTAAAAACATATTTAAAAACAAAAAGAAACCCGGCTAGACATAACACCTGACATCCCCATACTGAGCCTGGTGGACACTGTCAAGGGCTCGTGGTCTCAACCTTCTTCTCTCTGTCCCTCCTATGAGCACCCAGAACACAGACAGCGTAGTTCATTTTCAACAACACACTTTTGCAGATAAAAAAGGTGACCCACACTTTCATTTTCTTTATTTTTCATTGATACCGTATGAATACAAAGTTTCTAGAAAGCTACAAAATGTCTACCACTTTATCAAGAAGGCATCAAAATGTGTCACTTTGCAAAGACATGAAAACACCTGCAGGAACTGACACAAAAATAGCATTTTTAGAGTGATGAAATAATTGCACTTAACTGTCATGGATATTAAAGTTATCACACATATGTACCGCGAAAGCTAGAATACATTTTTTTTTTTTTACAAAGCACTTTATAAAAAAATTCTCTGCACACAAACCCTATAATTTTCATATAACTATCATACTAAAGATAAATTCACTTTAAAGCCAACACTTAGAACATTTTTAAACAAAAAGGTACCAGTACCTAAACACAGACATTAACAAATACAAGAATACTGTACTGCCAAGAGGTTTAACCAAACGCCTTTTGAGAGTTTCTGCACATAGGTTAAGAAAATGTGGGAGAATTTGCCCACCCCCACCCCCCAATCTCTCCAATCTCCCCAAGAGGAACCTTAGTACCCGAAGGCGGGTTCCACAGCCCACTCTCAGCAGCAGTACAATATCAAAGGGACCACCGACCAGATGAAACGCTTACGTCACAAGCCCATTTTATACACGTGACATGAAGACACAGACTGTGAGAATCCCATTAAGTCATTTAGAATGTGAACAAACACACGTGGCAAAAACCGATTTACATAACATTTAAGCATATTAAAGAATTAAAGGCTATTCAGGTTTTTTTTTCCCCAATGTTACAAAAATGTTTTCGTTGTTGTTTTTTCAGGCACGTACTGTTTTTGTTTTTAGTTTTTCTTTATCTGCAGTCATGAGCCTATTGAAGAAAGGCCTACTGAAGTGAATCTTTCAAGGAGGTAACAGGGAGATTGTTTTTAAAGAAGTGCAGTTAGTACCTAATTTACACAGTGAAACTAATCACACACAAAAATGGCTGATGCAAAAAAAGGAGAAGAAATCAGAGACTGGTTTCTAATTGATTTACGCCTCGATTCTTTCAGCTTCTCTTGGAGAAAGGGGAAGGGGAAATGATCTCATGGCGGGAGCCAGAGGAAAGAGGGTCAACTGGACCAGTGGGACCCACTGAAATTGGACCCCATTGAAGGATGAATGAGGGGGGAACATGAATGCCATTTCAAATACTAACATGTAGTGTGACGTGTGACTGACTCAATGCAAATGCCGATTCACAGAGTTAAATTAAGCAAGTTACGGCTTAAGAAGTTGGACAATAAATACAAATATTTCATCTTATTTAATGGTGCATGACTTCGGTGAAACTATCCTTTGCGATGCAATACATTTTAAACACAAAACCTTCATTCTTAACAGTCTAAGCAATGAGTTTCTGAGAGAAAACTATTGCCAAACAAAGCGCAGTGACACTTGAAAAGAGAAGAGGAAACAGGGATTTGTCTAACTTCTTCCAGGCTGTTGGTATAAGTTCAGTGACAGGGAGGGCCTGAATTCAAGCAGCTAACTAGAATCTGCGGTAATTTTCCTTTCCATTTGATTGTTTTTTCCTTGTAGAAATTTCTAGAATTCCACTCACAACTTGGTGGAAAGCACTCCTGAAATTTCAGAGCCCAGAGAGGGTATACTCTTAGACACCAGGTAGAGACAGACGGAACACATGCATTGAGAGTTCAGAGGCTAACTTTCCAAGACATCTGATGTCATTTTTAAGTCTAAATTGATAAAGAAACATCTTTTTTTCCCCTTGTTTGGCTAGTGCGTCTGCCTTCTTGTGCTTCTCCCTCCTCTTTCTCACCTCTATCAGCTTTCCCAATGTTTCCAAGGTTTTGATAAAAGCCAATACGGGCTGTAAAGAATGGCCCCTTTGAGGGCTGGAACCTTCTTTGAAAACGCCGAATTGTGAATGGTGCTCTTTGGAAGTTTCTCATAGCACAGTCAGACAAGACACTCGGAGTCAGTATTTTTGCCCTAAGAACACTTCACTTGTCATAACCCTAACTCACTTTTGTTCTGCACTATCATCTCAGTTTGAGGCTTCCAACTTGCAAAATGGTGTCGCTGTGTAAAACACAGAAGTGCGCACTGTCGTCTGAAAGGACAAAAAGCCTCCGTATAGATGGAGCATGGAGTCCATCCACTGGCAGAGAGTCTGCAGTTAGTGTGGATGCCCCCACACGGGGGGTGCAGGGCTGGGGGGCGAGGGAGATGACACCAGGGTCATTGGCACACACAAACACAGCAGCTCCTGGGTCCCTCCTGCGGCAGCGTGCTCCTGGTGGACGGTGGCGGGGGCTCTCCCACGGCAGACAGACTCCCAGCAGGCGGGGTCCACGTTGGGCTCTTGTGGACAGAGGCCTGTGGCTGGTTACTCATCCCGGTGAACCAAAGGCATTACGGTGATCTCCATAAATTTTTGGTCTCTCTACAAGTGATCGTTATTATGGCAGCACTTTTCTAAGCTGGAATCTCAAACCAAAGGCACTTTCATGCTGGAGTGCAGAAGATTCACAAATAGCTAAGTATTTGGTTGTGAATTTAAAAGGCAACATTAAAAAGTACAATTTGCTTTTCATAGTCAACTATGAAGTTGCAAAAAACCGTTTGTTTTGGTATCTGCATTTGAGAGTCTGGTCAGAGGACTGACTCACATTCAGTTTCCGATTGTAGACCAAGGAGTCAGTTTCTTGTAGAACTGGAGAAAAGGGGGCTTAATAAACAAGAAGGAAACGCTTTTTGCTTGTTCTGTTTTAAATACAGGGCCAATCAGTCAGTGGGCACTGAGAACAGGTGTAAGAAAAGGCTGGCGGCGCGGCTAAGGTATCTAAGGCACTGCTTACTGGAACGCTTTGGCAGGTCTGAATTGAAAACTTCCTAAAATGAGTAACAGTGGTAAGAGAAATGCTTCCAGCTTACAAAAGGGCTCACAGTTCCGAGGCAGCCTTTTACACTGCACACCCTACATGCGACATCTCAGAGAGTTAAGGCTTTTCACAGACAACAGGGGCAGGGCTTTGCCACAGACACAGCAACATAAAGACGTGAGTGGTGCAGACATGTCCTCTCCAGGGCGTCCGTGAGAACGCGGACCAACGAGGCTGGTTCTCCCTTCGTTTGGGACATGGACAGTGTACCAGAGCATATACAAAATCATACCAATGATATGTACCTGGTTTGTAAAACTGTCGTCTTGTGACTGAAATAATTTATGGTTCTACAGAAAACAAACTGCTGAAGCCACTACAGTATTGAAACGGAAAGACTTGGGTTTTCAAGTCATCTGGGGACCTGCCTACCAAGTGCTTGGAACGGGGCCTGCGTTTGGCTGGCCTGCATGCGGGACTTGGCTGCTGGGATGCTTAGCAATGGGAACTTGGAGCCTGTGGCAGGTGAACTGAACTCAGAGGAAGCAAAAAGGCTCATCAGCTTGCCTCTCTGCTTGTGGTGACCTCTGACTACCCCAGCAAGCAGCAGCCACCTGGGACGATGCTGTGGCTCTGGCAGGGGGCTTCTTCCCTCCCCCCTCTGCTGAAGGGACCCCGTCCACACATTTTGGGGGTCGTTTATACATGAGCACCAAAGAGAAACAACTTCCACCAGAAGAGGCTGAAGGGTAAGTGGCAGGAGTGTGAGAGCCTCAACGTCCTCACCCACACAGCGAAGGAGAGTAGACTGTACTCCCTTTTAGCTCAATAAACAAGAACTTCTATCAGCCACCTCCTGGGATGGGCCCCCTCTCCTCCATCCCTAACGGTGAAAAGACATGTTCCCGAGGCTTCTGCAGATACAAACAGGCAGAAAAGCAGAAGAAATCTACCCAAATGATGGAAGGTTTGCTAATAAGACCCAGGAGCTTATGAAAAATAATGAAAATAGCTGTGTGTTTTTTAAGTCCGGTAAACCAAGGATTGAAGATCAATTAGAAATGATCTTTGATCGTCGTGATGATCGTGACCAAGCTGTTCCCGACTTCCCCTGGCAGGAAGGAAAGAATGCAAGAGACAGGAGCAAGATTCCTAAGATGGGTGACCAACAGAAGAAACGTAAATGCTTGTGGCAAGAGAGACATGTGAAATAGAAGTTCTGAAATGGGAAGCAGCAGGTACACAATGTCACTTGTATACTATTTCTACCTGCCTCCTGGCATCTGACACCAGGAGAGGTATTATCGCAGGGTAAAACATGGTCTGTGGGACCTGTGCGGTCCAGGGCAGCGATTCTCAATCAGAGGCGATTCTGTGCCCATGGGACACTGGTGATAGCTGAAGACATTCTGGGTTGTGACAACTGAGGGAAGAGGTGCTACTGGTACCTAGTGAGCAGAGGCGGGGACGCTGGGACACCTCCTCTAATGCACAGACAGCCCTGCACAGAAAAGGATCACCTCGTATGAAACGTCAACAATGTTGAGGTGGACACTGGTCTCGGGCAGTTGGGACATTCTGGGATTCTGGGACATGTTCTTGAAGAAGTCCTGATTTTTCCTAGGTGGAAAAGAATGGCAAGAGACCAGCAGCCGGTTCTTCAGCTATCCCCTGCTTAGGGGTGACAATTTGGCCTCCAAATTCTCCAGGGACAGCATGCAATGTCTCTGAATCACACCTGGCAGCAGTCACCAGGGGATAGAGCAGCGGGGAGAGCAGTGAGGGCCGTGCTCTGGAAACTCTTTATGGTGCAGAGAGCTTTCCAAGAGGGAGAATATGGCCACAAAGGGCAAAAGACAAACTCAGACAGACTCAGATTTGATCTTACACAAATGCCACTTCAGGGTCTAATCTGGGAGAGATGGAGAGAGGGCCGAGGGTTTGGGTGACAGGACCTATGAATACGAGAGGGAAAAGATCTGCCCTGGGGAAAACTTGTGAAGAATAAGACAAGAAATAACTTTTAAACATTTTAGAGCAAAAGATATAAAGCAGAAAAATTTAAGAGCAAAACATAAGCCTCAGGGTTGTTTATGTAAGCCCCCCTAATTCAACTATAACAGGGTTTGGAGGTCACTGGCAGTGAAGCAGCAGAAGGCCCGGCCTGACCGGGAGTCGGGGACCAGGGATGCCCTTCTCTGCAGCCAACAGAACTACCCTTTGTGGGTCTCCTGGGTCTATTTGTGCTACCTCTCTCCCTGGAGCTCTGGGATGGCCTGGCCTTAAGCCACATGCGTCATTTGCCTGCCTTTAGTTCTGGGGTCCTACTCCTGGAAGAGTGAGGGTTCCCTTGAGGAAAAATACAAGAGACAGGAGCAAAAGCAACATCCTCGATGGATGACCACTAGAAGAAGTTTCAGTGCTTGGGCTGAAGACCCGAAGGAAGAGCAGACAACGGGGGCAATCTTTCAAGGGCTCATTGGGAATCAGGGGACAAAAGGCAGTCTCTTTATGGAGGGAAGATGGGACGCCCTCCTACTAGTTTCCTTAAGGGGTGTGAACTCCAAATGGGGAAGGTTTTATACTTTCCCCTCTGGTCTGCCCAGTGAACCAGTTGCATGAGTCTGGAAGAGGCCAGGTGTAGCCCAGTGTTCTGCTGTTCACCAACCCGGAACACCCTCATGCTCAAGACCACCAGATCCTAACCAGTGTGTAAGCAGGGTCAGAGCGGACAGGGAGACAGGAAGTGGGTATATAAGTTACTTGGATGGGACAGAGCAAAGTTTTTATTTTCTGGCTTGATGAAAAAGTCTTGATATGTTTCACATCTTAGAAAACTTATTTCACATTCTATTGTGTTAGCATGTCCCCAACATTTATAAAAATGTCACTTTCTTCTGGGAAGTTGGGGGTGTGTCCTTGTGGGTGTTTACCAACGAAGCCCTGTAGAAAGAGATGCACCAAGTCTGCCTGGGCCAAGCTTTGGAATATTTGGGCTGATCAGTTAAGTCTCTCCTGAGAAGAGAACCTCCCACATGAGCCAGATAAATAGGGTGGGCCTCTTAAACCTCGGTCAAATAAGTACTGTGACTTACTGAGTGAGAAGAAAATGGGTGTCCTTAGAGAATATATCTAGAGCTATAGAGACAGTCTGAAATATACATACATATCAGCACCTAGCAAACTTAAGTGGCACTAACTAGGTGTGCAATAAATACGTGTTGAATAGCTACATATGTATACGTACTCACAAACATACATATACATATAATTATAGCAGGTTAATAGGCCTTTTGGATCACCAGAAATAAACAATTTATCCACAGGTTAGTGAGGATGCTTGCCAATTTCGGGGGAGCAGAGATGCTAAAACTGATGAGCCTTTTCCTTGTTTGGTTGATGAAATTTTCTACCAGCCACAGGATTTTCTATACTTTGTAGCTCACAGTGCAGTATTCATGCCAATTAAAATTTTTTGCTATTAAATTTCAGTGGTTCAAATATTTACTCATCTTAATAAAAAAAATTTGGTTGTTCATATAAAATATAACTGCACAGACAAGACTATAAACATTGTAAGTTTAGGTTTTCAGTATTTATCTACTTATTGCAAAAAGAGCCATCTTTTCTTTTTCATTAAATAATCAATCATCACATTAGTACAATACAATTTTATATTTTTAAATATACTATATATGTTAAGGATAAGGGGTGAAGTTTTCTTCCTTTGTAATACCTGTTCAAGCGTTTAATGGATTAGGAGATTAGTTTTAACCTTGTGAAAAAAGTACAAATTTTTCTCATTAGGATATTTCTACCAAGCATTTCTTAAGGCTATATTTTAACATTTGGTTTCAAAATGAAAGAAAAGTTTTAAAAAATAATTTAGTGAATTACATTCTTTCATAACTTCCACCCTAATTAGTTACAAAGATAAGTCTAAAGATTCTTAGTGTTTTATACTAAATTTACATTTATATTTAAAGATTAATTTTACTTGTATCTTAAAACAAGAATTTTATGTTGGAAAAAAAAGAAAGAACTAAATACATTTGTATAAAGGCTGTAAATGTCCCACGGCAAATGCTCCGTCTGAATATTTACTACCACAATTAGAAACAGGCTCTGTGGGCAGAGCCGGGTTCTAGGTTCACCTTTCCCGAGGAACTGTGGGCTGCAGGTCTGAGGGACACAGAGGAACAACTCGATTTCTCTTTTTACAACTGTACCAGAACTTCACAGCTATGATGAGAGCATGAACACATGGAAAAATGACTTCACTCAAACAGGACTTAGAAAAGTAGGGTGACCGCAGGGCCAGGGCACCCCCCTGCATGGGGAGCTTTACAGTTAGTCGTTTGAAAATGGAGAGTGTGTGTGTGCACATATGTGTGTGTGTGTGTGTGTGTGTGTGTATATACAGATATCTATATATATATAAATAACCATGTTCAGTCCTTTACAAGCCTGTAAATATGATGCTGTGCTCCATGTTCACTATTTGAAACTTCAAATACACAGGCCATGCAGAGGAGAGTTTCTTGTGTATCCCTGTTTGTAACCACCTGTTAAAAAAAGAAAGTATATATACACATATATAAATAAAAAACACCACATGAATGAAAGCATATTCCACCTGTGCTGTGACTACTCTGATTTCCCTGGAATGGAACAGTCTAAAGTCCAACAGCCTCACGCTGACTCTCTAGCACGAATTTAGGATATTGAGGGTTGGATTTGAAACCCATCTGAGTTACCGTATGTAGGAAGCACCTTACAGAAAGGGTCTCATGCATAATATGAGCCCCAGAGAGACCAGAGAATTAGTGTGAGTTTTGGGGGTGCGGGGGGAGGTTGATTTCTTTACAACAATTTTTTACAATCCCGTCCCATGAGGCAGTCATTTATCCTAGGAACAGTCTCCTATCTTATTCCTAAACCTTTATTAGATTTGTTTCACGATAGCCAATGATAGACGTAAGTTTCATGAGTGCCTTGCTTGCCACTTTTAACCAGCAGTACCTGGATCAGTAAAAAATAGGCTGAGTGAGGGAACAGTGGTAGCATCATGCCGAAGGATTCTTCTTTTAATTTATGTAGGCTTTACTTTTCAAAATGTATTTTGAAATATGCGCCTCCCCTCTTGAGTCCAGTGTCTCCAGTCCATCTCTCTTCTCCTCATACCCCGTCTCAGCCTCCATTCAGATCTTGAATCCTCTAGCCCAGATCATGGCAGCCCCTGCCCACTGGACCCAACCTCGTTCCTCTCCTCACTCTCTCAACCCCCCATGCCACTCTCAGAAGAAACCTTCTAAAAGCAAATCTAACCCAACTTTCCTCCTCAAATGCTTCTCTGACTCCGTTACATGAGTGTTTTCAAAGATTTCGAATTTGAGAGCCTCATCCAGTTTGCCGTGGGTCTCATTCCCCCCTCTGTATCAGGCTACTTCTCCCACTTCGTTTCCCTTACACTTCAGGCCTCCGTGTGTATGGTCCCTGACTAAAGAATAAAGTCCCACAGGACTTGTAATTTGCCCATCACAGCAGTCTGTACCTTCTGTAAATACATTTAGATTTGTATCATTTTTTGAAAATGCCCATCTCGTCCAGTGGGCTGCAAATTCTTGAAGGCCACATTCCCCAGTACCTAGCCTGGCACACAATAGTCATTTAATAAATATTTGCTGGATGAATGAAAAGGCATGTAATAACAGCCAACATGTATCAACTACTTAGTACACATGTACTCAGTATTAAATGCTTTACACATATTGTCTCATGTGATATAACAGTGATTCTACGAGCAGGTGCTATATCCCTCCTCCTCTGACAAAGAAGGAAGCTGGGGATTAATCTATTTAAGGAAATACAATTGTCTAATGCTGAAGACCTTTTTCTTAGCCGTTATATCATGCTGCTCTAGACAGCTGACACAATAATGGATTATCTACTTTTGTTTTTTTCTGGGCAATTTTCAATACTGGTCCCCCCCGTGCTTTTCTACACTTGATTCCTATTGCTTTCCTCATAGATCAAATACAGCAAGCAAGTATTTCTTTCATCTTTGAAACTTCTCTCTCTCTCCCTCATCACCTTACCTAACAAATGCCAGGTTCTGCTGCTTTTTACTCCTGAATAGTTCTCGAATCTACTCCCTTTTCTACCACCGTGGTACCACCAACCTCACCTGGACTCCTTCCCCAGGAGCCACCCCTGCCTGGCCAAGGCCCATCGGCACACAGCAGCTGCAAAACCCTTGTAAGATACAGAAACCTGACAACAACAAACTTGCTTAAACCGTGATGCGACCCTGGCCAGGTGGCTCATTTGGTTAGAGCCCTGTCCCGATACACCTGGGTTGCAGGTTCGATCACTCAGGGCACATTCAAGGATTAACCAATGAATGCATATATAGGTGGAATAACAAACAATGGCTCTCTCTCTAAACAAAACAAAACAAAACACCTCAATGGCCTCTTTTAAACTTTAGGATAATGAGAAAACCTGTTCTCATCCTACTAGGCGGAGGAGCTTCTGCCCAATCTGGCCCTTCCTCCCTGGCCAGCTCACTGCTCTGTGCTCCTGTCCTTCACAGCTACACAGTCCTATTTTCTGTTTAACCTGCTGCTACCTGCCTGCCTCTCTGCAGTATTCTTCCCGGCCCCTCTGCTTGTTCATCCAGCAGCTACCTTTCAACTGCTGCTTCCTCTGGGAAGCTGGATATGACCTCCAGAACTATACGTGCTTCCTTGGCACCATGTACCGTATTTTCCGGCGTATAAGACGACCTTTGAAACGAAAAAAACGCCTGCTCAGATTGGCCAGAGTCAGAGAGGCGGTCTATTAAAAAAAGAACTGGTGTTGCCTCGGAAGTGGGAGGTAGTCTTATACAGCGATTATAGGCCTAAACCTATGTTTTAACTGTAAAATTAGGGGGTCATCTTATACGCCAGAAAATACGGTACCTAGCTCTGCAGCCATCAGCCACTGTTCAGTGTACATTCATTTGGGAATTCCTCGGGGAATGCCTGCTTCCTTCACCAGACTCCAGGATGGCTGCCTCATCTGTCCAATTCACCAAATCCTAGAACCCGACACTTAACTATGCACCCATGACATGGCCTTTTTCTTTGTAAATCTGAAAAATGTCTGTTTATCACCAAGGCAATTTAAATACCATCTTTTAACATTCCCAAGAATTCTGCACCTCACCCAACTTTAGGTACCTGCTCAGGTAAAGTATTCTGTACTTCTGTGGTGCCCGTTTCACAAGTGTAACTACAGCCATTATGACCTTGTATTGCAATCAGTTATGCACCTGCCTCTTTCCTCTATCAGGCCAAGATCTACTGTGAGACTGTGTGTGTTTTATCTGCATTGTATTCCAGCAGCTAGAACCATCTCTCCGGAGCTCAGCTGAATGAATGAAAACATCCTTAATAACCCCTGAGGTGGAGAGTACAGATTTGAGCACATTGGTTGTCAATGGAGGAGGAAATCAAGGTGGAGAGACTTTACTCCAGGTCAGAAAATAGAGCTGGCTCTGAAACCCTAGTCTTCTGATTCCATGATCGTGAAATAGTTTGCAAAGTGTCTTTTCCATCAATTCAAGTCTTAGTTTATGTCTATCACTGGCTCTGTGACCTAATGTGTTAGGGTAGACCTAACATTCCTTATTCATAAAATAGTAATAAAAATGAACTCATAATTCTGAACTGAGAATTTCATGTCGTAACGTTTACAAAAGGTTTAACATGTGCCTAAAACATCTGTGATGTAGCCTCTTTCTTGCAAATTTTCTATGAAAGAATACATCCTATTTAGGCTTTATGATTAAGATTCAAAAGGAGGAAAGAAAAAAAATAGTTTCTAGCCACCTGTATTTCTGAGTTCAACCTCAAAAGGAAGACTTGGCCTATGGTTCACCTGCCGTCTTCCTGTCTGTCTGTCTGTCTGTAAGGCCCGCCTCTACAGGTTCACCTGAATTCCCAAATAATCCTGATGAAATCAGACAGTCTAGCCCACTAGGCCATCGGATCTGGAAATGGTCCTCTACAGGTTTCGTGTCCGAGGCACTCTAGTAAAACCCCGACAACGGTGTCCAGCAACTGGCACCCTGACTATGATCCTAACTCCACCCCGAGAAAAAGCGGAAAGGTACTCTTGCTCCTGTAATCGATGAGATTATTTTGTTCTCATAACCCAGGAGCAAGGGCTTACTTTCAGCTTTTCTAGAGCTATAGTAGTATTCGAGCAGATATTTATCGATAGCCACTAATTCTGCATATTAGAGGAATTTATGTAGTTGCTTGATGATACCTTCTGAAATTAATTAAACATAGGGCGTTCTCCAGCCGTCATGCTGCATGAAGCCACATGTTCCAAAACCCATACAGTTACATGGGTTTTATGGGTAATAGATGCTTTTCATTTTTCCAGGCCTATTGTCCTCGGCTATGCTCCGTGAGGTAGGGAGGGTTTTAAAGACTGAGCACATATTCTTTAAAATGCTGAAACACACAGCATTTCATGGGTTTCAAAAATAAAAAATAAAAATTAAAAAAATAGCTGACACTCCTTCCAAGAGAGGTGAAGTGGCCATCCACCCAGAGAGTTGTGGTTCATTCCTGAGGCTATTTCATGTCCACAGCAGGATGCCACATTCACCTTCTGCTCAGCTAAGCACTAAGGTGATCTGTTCTTAATTACAAGGGCGTCTCTATGTGACGAGGACCCGCTAGCACCTGGAGCCTTGGACTGCTCAATGTTCACCAAAGGGCACCAGTGAAGACTAGTTACTAAAGAACATGTTTTCCAAATTTCCCCCAGACTGCTAGTTTCTAAATTTCAGAGGGACCTGGATACACTTAAGAGGCCATTGAGGTTCTCTCCACGGAATAAATGAAAATTGGCTCATTGACCAGTCCCTTAGAGCAGGGATTTCAACCCTGTGTGCACAACTACCTGGGGATGCTGATGTTATTCCTTGAGGTGGGGCTTATACCTCAGCATTTTAAAATTTTTATTATTATTATTATTTTACATTGTGTGAAGGAACTGGCTCCTACTGGTTGCTGAAAGTTATTGTTAAATATTAAGGACTTTCATGAGCTGGATAACCAGTGATAGCTTGAAATTGCCCATGGAGGGCGTATTTACAATCAGGGTGTGTGTGTGTGTGTGTGTGTGTGTGTGTGTGTGTATTTATTTATTTTGAGGGGGGAGTAGTTTGAGCCAGAATCTTTTATTTTCCACCAGTACACCAGTGCCTGAGTACCACGGACTGAATGAATCCAAAAACTCCAGGTAAATAATTCCTGCTTTTAGTGTTCTAGTCCTTGATCCTAGTCACAAAGGAATCTTTGACCACAATATTGCCTTGCTGTCCCTTTCAGCAAAAATACTTCCCACCAAGTTCTGTTTTGGCATTTTTCCTTCAGTTTAATTAAGGAATGTTATACTTTTTAAAATGAGCCTTATGAAACCTATTATTATATATATTTTAGAGGTATATTTTGAGGACAAGACTATTTGTAATAACCTTCCCAAGTCCCCCAGTGAAGCCTCCATGAGAAATTTGTTTTAAAGTTAAATATTAAGGGGGAAAAACTCCCACGCAGCATTGCCCTGTGGACACTTAACACCAATATTTTTTCCTTTTCCTTTAGCCGCCCATTAAGTTTTGATCATAGTTTTCAGCCTCTGGAGAATATTCAACCCTTCCTGGTCATGACATTCTATTCTAACGTACATCCCTTCTAGTTCTGAGAGCTCATATGTACGTACTTCTTATAAGGTCTTGCAAATCCTCCAGAAAATGAATCAAGATATGCTCAAATTACAAATCTTCTAACTCAGCTTTTGCCTCATTTGTGATTTGCCAAATATGTTGCTGCTAAGACCCAAACTTGGCTAATGCTGGAATTACCTGGGGAACTTTCCTGGGTCCTGTCCTCAGAGATCCTGATTCAATAATGGACACAGTTTACAGTCTTTGTATCAGGATATTTAGATACCAAGGTCTTTCTCCAGGTCTTCTAATGTGTGGCCAGAATTGAGAACCTAGGTCCATCATTTTTTATGATCCTCCTGAATTCCAATTCTGTCAAGCTTACAAATCCCCCTGCCAGTTTCCTCACACAGGGTAAAATAAATAAACAAATAAAACCCTTCTCTTCTACAGACTTGAGCTAAACCAAGGCTAGGTTTACCCTATAAATATGTGGACTCAACTGCTGACTGACTACCCGGGGCCCTACCCAACAGCCAGGCCATTTGCTTTGGCCCAGGTCCCGGTGCCTCCCAGAACTTTACCCCCACTCCCCAACCCTTACCTCCACCCTAGTCTTTCCCCACCAGCCTCAGGGCTGAGTCTGCCAAAATAGGGAAGAGACAAAATAGTTACCAATAAAATTGTGAAGTTTTCCAAAACACTATTCATCATATATTTCTCTGGTAAGTGTTTGAGTTTGTGGATGAAGTTGATCATATATTCACACATCGGGGAGCGGTTTATTCGGTATACAAATCGGCCATTCTCAAACCTTGCATACTCCGTCTGTGTGGGAAAAAGGATTTGAGCATTTTTACACTTTTGACCTCAAAATACATGAAAAGGGTTATTACTGCTTATAAAAGCATTGTAGTTTTTCAACATGAAATGTCTGCTATACACGGTACTATTTATGGCTGTTAACTTAATTTTTAAAAATCCAGTATCCAAAAATTAATGCCAGATTCAGAATTCATTATTTTTCTGGAAATTAACAGAGAATCGGAAGGTGCTTTGTTAGTGCAGTTGGTAATGACGTCAGTTTCATAAAAAAAGAAAAGAGAGGTGATAGCTTTAAAGAAGAGTTGTGTAAGTCCTGAGCAAAGGTCAGAAGGCAATATATCCCCCCGTGTCGTGATTCTCTACCCAGAGATCTGTAAGAGCAGCACCAGCCTCTCCCAAGTCTTCAAAAAGCCCAAAGAAAACCCTTCTTTACTATGATAAGGCCTCACAGGCCAGCAACCAATTCAGCTAATTTCTCTAGTTGAGGAAAAACGGCTTCACACTCATCATGAGCCTCTGACTGTTAGTTATTTATGCCTTTAATTTAAAAGAAAAGAAATAACTGGGTGTATAAAGTTGAAAGATCCCACTGAAGCATCAGAAGTAAGAAATACACTCCTGGATAAACCTTGGATCAAAAAAGAATTAAAAAGAAAATTACAAACTATCCAAAGAGTAATGAAAAGGAAAATACATTAAAAACTACGGGATGCAATGAAGCTCAAGTGGAGGAAACTTAATGAAGCAGCTTCATGTCTTCATCATGAAAGATGAACAAGTTCAGAACTAAACGCACATCTTTAAGAAATTACCAACTCACACAGCAAACCAAAACCACAGGAAAAGAAAAAACAAAACAAAACAAAAAAACCAGGAATAGGAAATTAATAAAGATAAAAGTGCAAATAAATATAATCAAATTTAAAAATGCAGACAGGATAAATATAAAAACTGGTTCTGTAGAAAAAGACTAAATAAAATAAACTTCACAAACATAAGGAGAAAAAAGAAGAGAGACAAAACTATAACTGCAGTGAGATTAGAAGATTTACAAGAGATTACATCACATATCGATACCTCTAACAGCAAAAATAGCAGAGAAAACCTAGAGGGTAGGGTGCCTTCCTAGCAAAATACAAATTGCTAATAACGACCCATTTTAAGTAGAAAACAACTGGTCAGTGATGGTGGAAATGACTAGAAGTTGTTTAGAAACATACCGCTGAAAAGGGTACAAAGACCAGATGGTTTCACAGGCAAGTTCCATGTAACCTTTAAAGAATAGTTATTTCCAATGTTATTCAAACCATGCCAGATCACAGAAAAAGGGAGATGTCCCACTTATTTTTATGAAACTAATATACATTCAATACTGAAATTTGATAAAGAAATAAAAAAAGAAAAGAACAGGCTAAGATGCAAAAACGCTATGTAAAACAGCAAACAGTGAGTCACTGTAACCAAAGCAGGACTTTGTTCAGGAATGCTGTGGTGGTGCACACACAGGATGTGCGCTAACTTGTGATGATGTCAACAAATGGGAGAAAAATCAGAGAAAAATCATATAGTTAGAGTTGCTGAAAAGGCATTTGATAAAATATTGTAGCTACTACTAATAAAAAATCCTAAGTAAAATATTTATAGAAAGAAAGCACTTAAAATGTAAAAATAAAGACGATTTATAAAAACCAAGAACAAATATCCTACATGAAAAAACACCCAAGACATGTCTACTCACATCAGGAACTATACAGGGATACTATTACTTATATAACACTATTTCCTTTTACAACTCCATTGGAAGTTTTAGGAAACTAAAAGGTGAGAAAATAATAATTTTAAAAACAGGCATAAAAATTGGAAAAGAAACAATAAAATAAAGCTGCCAATAAGATTTATATACATAAAAAAGCCATGAATCTAGGGGAAAATGACCAGAGATAAACACAGCAAAATGTTTTGAAAGAAAATAGATATACAAAGACCAAGAACTTTTCTCTCTTCTAGTAATCAAAATCTAGAAGTAGAAAATTATATTCAACCAATTTCATAATACTTAGAAATATATATACTACCCGGAAAGGAATAAATCTATACATATAAAAACTATAAACTCTTATTATAATAGATAAAATGAGATGAAAATACAAATAGGTTCTTGATTAGAAAGACTGAGTATCAATTTATCCGAAAATAATAATCGAAATCAATTAGATAAGATTGCTCAAATAAGATTTTGTCTCTCTTTACATTTTTAAAACAATCTCAGTATTTGGAAGAATGAATGCTGGTTCCTAACCTAGAAAATATAAAAAAAAAAAAAAAAGATGGTGAACCTCATTTCCTCAGGAGATATCAGAACCTACCATCAGGCCATTGTAAAGAAGGAAGTGTGGCGTTGGGACAGGTGGAGGTACAGGGTGGAGATACAAGGTGGAGAGAACAGAGAGATGCCAGAAGCAGCTCCCAGTGTATGTGGTAACATCAAGGGCACAGATCCGCTCGGTGGGAAAAGGGTGAGTCACTTTATAAGTGGTTTTCAACAGACACCTATGTGTTTGGGAGAAAAATAGCAGTCTCCCCTTATACACATAATACAGAAATACATTCTAAGTGGGTTTAAGGTTTAATTATAAAACTCCACCTGCCACACTCATACTGCCTTTTTCATGGAAATTCCCCGAGAGTTTGAGAGTTCATCAGTTCGAGAGTTCGGTGGCCTCCCTTCCAGCCACTGCAGGGCTGGCTGCTGCTCCCAAACTGACTCCTTATTTCATGCTCTGGCTATTCTCTCTCTGCAGCTAAGTCTCTATCCCCATCTTTATCCTCATGCTTAGGATTCCCAATGAATAGTTTCAGTCTTTACCTTCTCTAAAATGTTAGCCTTGCATGGGTCAGCAATCATGCCCTGTTTCCTATTGAACACCCCATTTCCTTCTCTCTGCTGGTGACAAGATTGTCCTTCCAAGGATAAAGTGTATGACCTTTGACTTTCCCTCCTCTTTAATCTTAAATATGCAGTCAGTTTCTAAGTTCCATTCAAATATCTTACTGGGTTCCCACTACCACCAGTTTAATAAAGCTCACGCCCCCTAAGCTTAAATGAACCACCCTTCCTCCTTCTCACTCCCCAATGTCTCTCTCTGTCTCTTTCTTGTCTCAGCACAAAGTCTCTGTCACAGACAGGTGGGCTCCTGGACCTCCGAGGTCCAGGGCTGCTGTAAACAAAAGCTTCTCACTGAACATGGATCCACTGTGGGGGGATGAGCAGAAACACTGAAAAAACCTTCAATGGAATGTCAACTACAAATATCATTCATACTAATCAAACAAACATATACTTTTTTTTTTCAAAGAAATGGAGGCTTAAAATTAAAGGCCAAAAATAGGTATTTAGTCCCAGTTTGTACTAGAATAGACTTAACCACGTCCAAAACAGAAACTATCCCCACATGCCACAACATTTCCAATTTAATTTTAAAAAACAACTTGCAATGAATATTATAAAAATAAATATATTACAATTTGGGTGTTCTTGAATATTTTCAGCCGAAAATCCTCATGAAAAATGATTTTAAAGTTGGTCAGGTCTGCCACTTAGGGAAAACATTTTTGTTTTAATAGACATGCATAGCATGTGGGGAAGGTCCACTCAATCCCCAGTGTGTGTGTGTGGGGGGGGGGGGGGGGCGTACAAATGGGTTAAAACAAATATAATGAAAGGGGTATAAATGGCAAAAGCAACACCACCGAACAGAAGGTATCGGGGCTTAGAAGGCCAGTGCCCATCAGTCGCACATGCTGTGGCTCCTCTCCCAGTGCCTGGGAGTCCCCTTGCCATGGGTGGGTGGGAAGGCTTCATCTGATGGGCGGCAGCTCCCACACCAGGCCACCCCCAGGACTAAACGCTGCGGGTGGGAAGGCCAACTTCAACAGTCAAGGGGGCTGGTGTGGGACTTCCTCCTGGCCTTCTTTCAGTGGCTTTCAACCCATTTTGCCTTTTTAGAAGTAATTGTGGGTGGGGGAGGAGTTAGGTGGGGTTGGGTCAGAAGAAAGAGAGACAAAAAAAAAAAAATAAAAAAATAAAAAAAATAGTAAAACTCTACCCCAGAAAGCTTTAAAGGACAGCAATAATCTGGCCTTGAAAGAAAGTTCCAGGATACAGAGGCCAACTTACCTCTACTTTTTCTACTACTTGCTTCCCAAAGGAGCAAACTTTGGTGGAACAGGTGACTGTCATGTTTTCAGAGCTCTCATACTGACTGGTTACACAGTAAAAAGCCCCGGCATCATCTTGAATATTGCAGTTTAAATCGGCCTGTTGGAAGGAAATGGAGGTGAGGGTTATGCTCTCATAGCAGGAGTCATGGCAACCAGCAGTAGCGGTCAGGGTCCAACCTCCTGAGTGGAGGCTAGGAGGTAATACTCATCTGGAAACCAGTGCACTGGCCCCTTGGTCACTTTTTGGAAGAGAGTACTGATTTGGTAGTCTTCCCTGGAAATGACCAGCTACATGAATCTATTTTGTTTTACTTTCCGGCATTCTGTATCGAAGTAATGTTGTATCCTTGTAAGAGAAGATCCATGAGGTCTTTACAAATGTATAGTTGACTCTTGAACAACATGGGGATTAGAGGCTCTGCCTCCTGCACAGTTGAAAACCCGCAACAACTTTGACTCCCCCAAACTTTACTAATACCTACTATTGACCAAAAGCCTTACTGTCAATCTAAACAATTAACAAATATTCTGTATATTTATTTTACTGTATTCTTACAATAAAGTTAGTGAAAAAAATAAAGAATCATAAGGAAGAGAAAATACATTACAACATTTGTTGAAACAAATGCGTGTTATAAGTGGACCCGTGCAGTTCAAACCCATGTTTTTCCAGGGTCAAATGTATATGAACTGAATTCAGATTCACTAGTCTTTAGAGATATTTAAAAAAACAGGAGACTTGACAGCTGACTGGCCATTTGTTACATATTTAAAAACAGGTCCTAGGTGGTTTGGCTCAACGGATAGAGCATTAGCCTGTGAACTGAAGGGTCCCGGGTTTGATTCTGGTCAAGGGCACATGCCTGGGTTGCAGGGTCAATCCCCACTGGGGGGAAAGGGAGACATGCAAGAGGCAGTCCATCAATGATACTTTCTCATCATTGATGTTGCTATCTCTCTCTCCCTCTCCATTCCTCTCTGAAATAAAAATATATTTAAAAACAAAACAGAAACTTTAGGCATCTAGAGAGAAATTGGATGCAATTAAACCCTCACAAAAATGCTATAATTTAACATAAGCCTCCATACATTTAACGCTCATGCTAAACACTATATAGGACTTGACTACAACCTTATGTAGGATATACATGCAATAGTTATAATTTAGATAAAAGATCAGTACCATGTCAAAGGTACGAGTTTGGAAATGCAACTGAACCCAGCTTGTGGAGGGCTAAATAAAGAGTGTGGATTGTACCCTGCGGGAAAGGGGACCTCTTGAAAGTTTTGGCACAAGGAAATGACATGATCAGCATCATGCTTCAGGATGAGGCTGGGAGGCTAGCATCTGGTATTGACAGAAGGTTCCTTTCTCTTGAATGTCTCCTGACTCCCTACTGCTCATCAGGTAGGAGGGTGGGGGGAGGTGGTTTTGAGCGTAAATGGAGAAGTGTGTCAGGAGCCCTTTACAGCAGTCCGATGAGAGAGGAGAGTTGGACTACTGTGGTGACTGGTGAGACCTGACATACAGATGAGACTACACATATTTTGAGAGATTGGGCACATTTTGATTGAAGTTTCAATACCTTGATAGGCACAAATCGACCACCATGAATCTCTCTATATTTTTAATAAAGATCTATATTTGAATTTCCTTCTCGAGTATCAGGAAATGTCTTTTTCCTTAGGCAAAACTTCCTATTTTTTGGCTTCATATAAAAAGTATTATATACTTTCTACTCCCCCTTTCACCTCATGTGCCAAAAATTGCAAAGCTAAAATCAGTGCTCAACTGCAGTCATTAACTTAACTGAACTAGGAATCGCTACTAACCACCAATATATAGTCCCTTTACTGGGTCCTATTCTGCTTTTATGGTACTTTTCAGGTTTTATATTACCCATAAATTTAGCAACACTCCCTCACATTTAGTTTTTTTCCAATTATATGAGGCTTAAATGATAAATACGTAAAAAATACCCAGGTGTGCATTTTTCTCACATTCAAAGAAAGGCTTGCCATTTGGCTCCGTGAAAGAGCTGCTTAGCGGAGGGAAAAACAGGTGCAGTTCCCTAACTGAAGACTGTACCTGAGCTACCCAGGCATCTCCCTGGGCTCTGGCCTCCGGATGAGAAAGGTGCTGACAATCGGAGGCACCCTGGAGCCCTGACACTGGAATCACCACCCAGCTTTCCACAGGCTCCTGAGCGTGGGCCTTTGAGAACTGCCACTGCCTTGCTCTGCCTCCAGCGGAAAACATGTGGCTCTGAGAGGCGGCTCTGGTGTTTTGTGGTGTCGGGATCACAGTGATCTTCTGCGTGGGGTTTATGATCTTAACTACAGCTGGCCCTCCTTATCCATGAGTTCTGCATCTGCAGATTCAACCCAGTGTGGATTGAACATGTTCGAAAAAATATGTTCTGCTGCATGTACTACACAGGCCCATGGAACACAAACAGACTTCTCTTGCCATTATTCCCTCAAACAATACAGCCTAATGACTATTTGCATAGCACTTTAATTGCATTAGGTATTATAAGTAATCTAGAGATGCTTTAAAGTAGGGGTGTCGAACTCAATCAGAGAAGGGGCCAAAATCTAAAATCCAGCCTAAATCGCGGGCCGAATGGTTTACTGAACGGTCATAAACTGTCATTGTGATGGAAACGCAGCGGAGTGCAGTGATGACAGCGCGGTGCGGGCCACATTGCAAGGCCTGGCGGGACGGATTTGGCCCGCGGGCCTTGTGTTTGACACATGTGCTTTAAAGTATGTGGGAGGATGTGTATAGATTCTATGCAAACACTCCACCGTTTCACGTAAGAGAGTTGAGCTTTTGTGGAGTTTAGTATCGGTGGAGGCTCCTGGAACCAATCCCCCACCAAGACTGAGGGAAGGCTGTGTTATGATGGAGATTGTGCCAACAAGTTTTAGCATTTAAGAAATATAAAAACATTCGTGCCAAAACAGTAGCACTCTTCTAAACCTTGTTTTAAAAAATACATCTGTACCAGCACCTTAGAACTCATGCAATACTGACACAGAACATTAGTATTAAAAAGAACAGCCATTACAAAAATGAACAGCCATACTTTTTAATGGCTGTACACTATTCCATCGCCCAGGTGTTCCGTAAGTTAGTAAGTGTGCTACCGATGAACATTTAAGATGCTTCCCAACAGCAGTGCAATGATGAGTTTATGTGAAGCAGAAAAGGTGCATCAGAAATTACTTTTACTTTCCTTCTGTGGGAACCCTGTCTAGAGTGCGCCAGATGTTCAAGGCCAATCTGAGCATGGGAATCCTAATCAGAGTGTTCAAGGCTAATCTGCTATATGCAGGTGCAAAAGCAAAGACACAGCAATCTTACTGTACTGCACAGGCATGCCCTTCTATGACCCAAAAGGCTGGTGTCACTATTTGGCAAGAAGCTTCTTTTGTCTAAGTTACTGTAAAGATGTGTTATTAACCAGCCATTGTGCAGCTGCTTGGAATGGCTCCTGTGTTTACTGCTGTGTTTGCAATGGCTGCTATGTTAGCAGCAGCTACTGTGTGAGGCTCCTTTGAAGAAAGGTTTTCTCTGATGGTTACTTAGTAGCAATAGCTACTTAGACTGTAATAAAACTCTCTTCTATGCCTACGAGCCTATGACCTCTCATGTCTTCTCCATCCACTACCCAGTAACCGTAAAGGTCCAGTTCCTGGCAGGGGAACTGAGGCTCCGCAGTTGACATAGGTGAGCAGAATCAAGGAGTAAGTACTCCAACAATTGGCACTGTGAGCGGGATCAAGGAAGAACTTATTCCAACAATGGCTGCACCGAGCAGGGTCCAGGAGAGTGCTGAAGATTCAGGAGTAAGGACTCCAACACCTTCCTTTCAGCATTAAAAAGTTCCCTGTTTTGAAAGAGTGAGCTATAAATGCACTGCTAGCTAATATTGTAATTTAAACAAACTTGCAATTTTGTTGTGAAAACCTGATGAGTAGTCAAAAGCAGTTAGGTGTTTGTGGTGTAAGGGGTGAAGTGTAGATGAGGCACATGAAAATAAGCAATGGGTGGAGGAGACAATGGGAGAGTGAATGGAATTAGGTTCTTTTAAAAAAAACAAAAAAAAAAAACTGTCTACCTTATTTCAGGGATTGAACAAGGAGGGAGATGTCTTAAGAATTATACCACAACTCCCTAGAACAATGTGTATTTTTTTCTTTTTCATGCTCTATTTTTCTTTCTATTAATTTCCATGGCATTATTTTTGACAAGTCAAAGATTTGCAATTTAAGCAAACCTGGACACTTAAGATCTAAAGCAAACACAGAACTAAAAACACATAGTAATCTGTCCATATTTACAATTAAAAGTGCTAACCAAGTTCAGAATAGTATTCACCTTAATTTGATGTTGGTGAAATTGCTGAAAGTTTTCACAGCTTTTGTGTTTTCGTCTCTGAGTTTCCATTTTCAAGTAGCACTGGTGAAAGGAGTTGCCCCAAGCCAGGGCATACTGATTAGATTCTGTCAACTAGAATGGATCATTTTTAAGACCCTCTTCCTTTACCTGACAAAAATTATTTTTAGAAATAATCAGCACTGTTTCATTGTAAATCTTAAACATAAGAACTCCAGAAGCAGTAACAGAGAATGACAGAAATGAAGTAACTAGAGTTTCTTCATCCTCATGATTACTGTGTCATCATTGCTCATTTCTGACTCTACTGTTTAACCTGCAAAGAAGCCTTGCCTGGAGACTGCAGCTCAAATGATTCCAAACTGTTAAGAACTCACCCTAAAAATGAATAAGAGGCTGAGTCCGCATGTGTTATTAGAAGATTAGTGATAAATGAACAAGTTATACAAGGGTGCTCATTTGAAGCACATTATATATGTAAAGCATATATGAAATAGAACACTGACTTCCCCAATAGTTTAGGGCTCAGGCCAATGGAGGATTTTATTTTTTTGAGGGGTATTTTGTTTATTTTTAATCCTCACCTGAGAGAATGAATATATATATATATATATATTGTATGTTGTTGGTTTTTTTTTATTGATTTTCAGAGAGAGGGAAAGACAGAGAGGGACACCGATGTGAGAGAAATA